CAAATATAACCCCCTGCTCTAGGAATGTATGCTGGGTTGTAGTGCAGTTATCTCTGAGGTACCCTCGCGTTTCCTCAGGGTCTGTTGGTCAAAACATACTTAAGAAGATGAAAATCAAAATCATGAACCCCTGCAGTGCCGCGATTATGCCGGCCTTCTATGGGCCAGCTACTTCAAATAATGGGAGCATAATTCTGGAAAGCCGTGGAATGTCTGGTACAAACTGGTAAGTAGATGAACAGCGACTAGTTCATCGTTTTCTCTGGAAGCATCTCGACAGATCTGTAGTGCTCTGATTCTGATTCACTCCAAAGGAAGTGTAGAGGGCTGGTTCAAGCTCTGTACTAATACGCCTATCGGGCCGGAACGCTTTGAGGAAACTTTCGTTTCATCCGAAAACTTTTTTCTTCACCGTTAACAACTAATTTCCAGCAAAAATAACCACGCTTCTTGGGTTTGGGTTGGCCATGTATTCCACAATATGGTCAGAAACTCAGTGGCATTTGAGCGATTCACGCGTGGGTGCATTTACACTTCAATTGAAATGAGGATAAGCGATCAAGGTACACTCGAAAATCCTGAGATGGGTAGGAACGTGGTCTGGTACATTCAGCTAAACGTCATGGGTGCAGATGGGCTTTCATGGAGAGATATTTATTTTACCACAAAGTGTCGGTCATGTCTGCTGTCCAACAAAGACACTCGGCGGATTGTCCTAAACTGAAATTTTCCACGGCAGTAACCCTTCTGTGCCAATGTTTGAAGTTGGGCCACGACCTACCGCGTCGCAGGGATAGGAGCGTATACATACAAGTCAATGCCATTTCTTAGCTCCCAAACAAACTGGGTGGCATTCGCCAACTTCGTGTGGGGTAAACCGTTGTTATATGAGCGAGCCATCCGGAATTAGACACCTGGACCCAGTGCATGTGGCCGTGTGAGGCCGGGTAACCCTTTTGCCGAGTACACTACATTTTCCAATGGGTGACCAAGTCAGAACAACTTATACTATGACGAAACTCATTCCTCTTGGCCGACTCGAGACCAGTGGATATGATTATGAGGGGCGGATGTAATCCCTTGGTTCACTGTGTAAGTCAAATCTTGAGAGGCATTATGCGCACCTCACATGATGTGCCTACTCGCCCCTCAAATGCTAACGGATGTTGGTATCGGTGGAGGAAATGGCGAAAAACGACATTGAAAGGTCAAAAACACTGCCAACAAAACACAGCCCTTTGTTCTTACACTGACTCAACTAAATGCAATGTCTCGACGAGTTTCCAGTTGAGCATCATAGCCAGTAGGCCCTACGGGCTGCCATAGCTCACATACCATTGGAGCATCACGGCCGCTTCAATATCATGTCCCTTCGCGTTCATATTTAAATCGCAATAATCGAAGCAATCGAGCATCCACGATACGCTCCATTTTGATGGCTTCTTCGGCGCGCCGGTCGGTGCGTCCGTGTCGGTAGACCGTACAAGGTTACCCCTTGAAAATGGGCTCCTCGCGAGCCAAGGGTTGACAGCTCGTGATGTGTGGATTCTGGTGCCCATGTACGACTCCCCCCGCCCCTCGCGAGGGGAGGCGCCTCGGCACGACCCCCCCTTCCCCAGACACCTACCTACAATTTCCAACGAAGGAATTTTCCGTCAAGCGGGGGCGGGGGGAAGGGGTCCAAAGTCACATGCACTCACCCCTCCCCAGCCGAAAAGCACGACCCCCCTATTTGTTTCACACAACGATGCTGTACTCTGTTCGCAGCGCCTGCTCAGGGGCGCGGAATTCCGTCCTGCCAGGCGTATTATTCTACTCGTCTCAGAGATTTATCCTGCCAACTGCCTTTGAAAATTGTTCATATTCATAAATTGGTTACGTTGTTCGGAGAAAAATCTGCTCCCGATGGTTTCTGGTGAATATGGATACGTAAGGAAATGACCGCCTCCTTCTATTCTTGAAAAGTAGAAGTGCACTATCCACTGACGCAATCTACTTGCCCACTCATAGACGTTATTTCGGCCGACTAAGCAATAGGATAATAGAGGACGAAAAGAAAGGCTTTCACGTCAATAGCCCAGAAAATCTCAATGGATATGCCATGAGAAGAAGCGGCGGTCAAATCCTAGCCGGAATTTTGTGTTGAGGGGGACCAACTCATTACCAAGGGGTTCAGCAGGGTAATTGTTAGGCTGTTATGGTAGGCTTATTCAATGCGATGTGGCTTATACAATGACTTTCGGAGGCTAGCCGATGAGCAAGTCAGTGGGGGGAGAGAGTTAGAGGGCTCGGTTGGTATGGGCGTTGTCGAACGGGGATTGAACCGCGACTGGTGAGCGTGCCACTTGCCACTACACTACCTCTCTACCTTACCTTAGAGGGAACTGCTACAAATCCAGGGCACGTCATTACTTGGGGATTTTGGACGGGTCCGTACGACCCCACCCCCCGTGAAAGGTGGCATGATACGCCCATCTCCTCGTTGAAACTCACCCTTCCTGCGATTTTTCTCCCGTAGCGGGTGTGCAGCTTTTGCGAAAAAGTTTAGTACTGGAAGTGTTTATATCCTTTGCTAGTCTAGAGAAATCTATGTCTGAGGGAACTTTGGTAGAGGTAGAAGCTCTCGCAATCATGTTAACAATAGGTATGTGCAGACTGGTGGTGTCAGTACGAGTCCGTTACCATTTTACCGAATTTTCCCGAAGTTTTAATTTCTGGGAGGGAAGCCAAAGTGGAGGAAGGAACACTTGCGATCATTTATCAGAAAAGTAATTTGGCGCACCCCTAACTCTGGTGGGGTGGGTAGAATGTGCTCGAACGCAATAGCAAAAAAATTTCCATGAAGCCGAATGGGCACCCTATCCCTTCATGGGAAGCACTCAGTTATGATGTACGCTACCACAGGTGGACGAGCGTCGCTGGGGTGACATCGCGCAATTTCCTAATTAATTGACGGGAGAAAGAGGCCAGTATGAAATAATTAATGAAATACATGAAGTGCAGATAATCTTATGAAATAAGAAAGGCATCTTACGTAATACTTGAATTCGATAAAACCTGACCTGAACGCCTTGGAAGCAGTGTAGACGAGGTGGCGGGCAGAGTCGTATGTTGGATGAGGCATAATGCTCTCATCCAGAGAGCACCTTGATAATAAAAAAATAAGAACATAGCGAAAAATCGTCGAAAATTAATAATAACTGAATAAGCTGTTGAAGGAGTTCAGAACACACACAAATTTGCTTTTTATATTACCAGTCGGATCGCCCGGCTAACGCCGAGCTCTCCTCCTTCTTGGAAGCCCGGCTTCGCCGGGCTCATGCAACTGCTTTAGAGCCTCACTTCTTAACTCGTGAAAGAAAGGAGCAAAGTAAGGCATAAGCAGGGCGATACTACTGTCTTAGGCATTTATGATGCTCTCATGGTGCCTAACCGGTGTCTTCTAATCAAATAAATGTAGGAACGCGCCATATAGTCGCAGGGCACTTTTATAATGAAAGTTTGAAATCTGGTCATGGATAATCGATTACTGTCCTCCCCATCTTATGACAGCCACGGATTCTTCGGTCTCCGCAGTCGCTGCGTGCTCCTGTTCAGGCGAGCGTCGGTCGCGCCAATATGGTACCCCTTCACCTCACCTATCCCCAAACTAACCTCAGCTATTCCCCGCTCAGCCACCCTACAGGTCACACTCAGCTGCTACGCGAATAGCCCGTGCAATGGTTCTGAGTGCACTAAATGGTTGTGTTATGTTGTGGAGGGTGTTATGACTATCAAAACGCTACCACAATTTGATAATGCAACATTAATCGGTTCAGTTCCGATTGCGGTCGATCCATTTTCTCCCCATCTTGTCGCAACCGTAGACGCCTTACCGCCGCAGGGGCTATGTGCTCCTAATCGCGAAATCGCCGTTCTCATCTGGTATCCCCTCACCACATCATATCCCACTGACCCTATTTAACCGGCACCCACCCCGCACGTGGTATGCAGCCGCCATGCAACATAGGGACACTACTCCGCCACTGTTCTTACCACCGCCTTGCTCGTGCTCACGTCCAGCTCCCAAGCGAGCAGCTCCTGCAGTAGCACAGAGTATATCACAGTGGTTGGCCCCAGTTTGCCCGATTCAATCCATATGCCTCCTTCCCCTGCATGGGCTCAGATCCGACTGAGTACGCGCAAGGGAGTGAGGATGGGAGAAGGGGGTCACTCGATACTAACTCCCACCTTCCTCACCTCACCCCATTCCGTACTCGCCACTCCACCCCCCCCCCCCCACCCCACCTTGCCCCTTGCACGCGCTTACGTCCAACTGCCACGCGAGCAACCCGTACAATGGCTCGGAGTGTAGTGGTTTTCTTATATAGTGGAGAGTGTTATCACAACCAAAACAACTTCTTAGTTCGTTACGGTAACATAGATTGGCTTGCAGTTTTGTTAGCGGTTGTTTCCTCATCCCTTGGTGCGCGTTTCTACTGAAACGCGCGCTACGCACCCCTCACTGTACCCCCTCCCCGCGACCCTCCCTCTGCCTCCCTCCCATACACGTGCTCAGCTCCGGCTGAGCACGTGCAGGAGAGGGAGGCAGGGCGACCCGGTACCCCCACCCTGCCCCCGCACGAGCACACGTCCAGCTGCCACGCCAGCAGCTCGTGCAATGGCTCGGAGTGTACCGAATGGTTGTCTTATATAGCGGAGGCTGTTATCACAATCAAATCATTGGACTGCTACATCCTCCCAGTCGGTTACCGGTTTGCCTAGCGGTCGTTTTCGCCTCCAGCGAACTCGAACCCGTGAAGTATTTTGCGGACGGACAGACAAACATACATACAAACCTACATACAAACATACAAACCGACACACAAAGTTACTGGTTTATAGAATGAAAGGATGATTGGGAATTTTTTTCATATACAACCCATCATTAGGCATCAACAGCTCAATAGCTGCTGCAACAGCTTAATTACAAGAATACTTTTCTCAGTAATGACTCAATTTCAACAAACTATTCTGTGAGCGACTTCGTGCACAACCAGCACTCCAGCTAGTCGACTGACGACATGACACCTTGAAGTCAAATCGTAAAAAATGAACTGTCAGTCATAATTTTTTTTAGAGGCGAGGCTTTGAAATAAAGATATATAACGACGCAGGCTTCATGGCCTATTTGACTTCATGCAGAAGGCTACGATTCAACTACACTGAAGTCAATTAGGGTGCGTTTATACTTCCCGGCAGTGTCCACCAGCGACTTACTAGCGTTCCAAGCGTCCGGGGCGTCAGCGACAAGAAAATTGCGGCTGTCGATCTATCAGTGTACGAGCGGCCGCAGAGCTCGGGGGATAGGGAAGTATAGTATCGATCTAGCGACCAACAGCGTCCACGAGTGGAGAGTATGGCGCGATAGGAGGGTAGCATATTACAACCCCCTATCGCCTAATATTTCCTTTATTTCCTGTCGCACGCGTGTCGGGACGCTATGGAACACTGGTATTCGCTTGTGGACGGCTGCTAGCAAACTTAAAGCGCAGCCCTTAGAGATTCTCCCACAACATACAACTACGATCCTTGCAAACGATAGGGAGCGCGATGGGCGGTGGATTGGAGATCAGCTCAGGACGGACTTTTCCACCGAAAAACTGCTGAAGGCATGGATGACAGAAGTTTGGAGCAGTCAAGAAGAAGACAAAAATGTGAAGACAAACGAAATAGAAAGAAGAAATAGAAGTTAGGTTCCACTATGGACCTGGCGCTACGCCTAACCGAGTCCCCTGACACGCCCCGATATCTGCTGCGAAAACGACTACGAACGCCGATTTTTTTCAGTGATTCGACGTATACGAAGAACCGTAATCACAATAAAGACTATACTGGATATTCCACATACCCGTTTTCATTAATAATCATGTACGATTGATGTAATCCATTGTGAATGTAGCATCGATAAACTTTGAAGGCGAACTCCTCCGAAGGACACGACCATCGATGATACACCTGAATACGGTATCGAGAACGAATGCACGTTGGCGTGCCCATGGTTTGACAACGGAACAAATTTGTGGACTTACCCACAGTGGGGCAGATCAAAGAGAAAATCGTCAACAAGTTCTTCCCTACAATTCTACCTCTCGAAAATATGTGGTGGGAATGCACAGAACGGTTTAGAGCCCGACTAGGTGTGAGAACGATTCGATTGCATGAGTAAAAAAACCTCCTACCCAGTTTTACTTGAGATCTTTATATAAAACCCCTCTTGTAATTTCTCTGTACAACCCTTTTTCAATGAACCCTTCTTTTAAAATGAACTTCTTGCTAGAAATTCAATCTGCCTTAGATAATCGGGTCTCAAAATCGAAAAAAAATCTGTCACGGAAATGTCAGCATTAACCAGTTGTCCAATCATGGCTTTTTGAACTCGCTGTCCATCAAGTGTGTTCAGTCGAAGAGAATAATGGCAAGTGGGCAGCACAGAATCGTTCCTTAATGGCAGAGCGACGAAGTTTCTGAAATAATGAAAGACTTACAGCAGATGGAAATATAAAAAGAGAGGGTTTCCCTGTTTTCTCGTCTCCCGAGGGTTCGCCTTCTCGCAGTACCCCTTCTTTCGTTTCCCAGCCCTTTCTCATCACCTTGCCAAATCTACAGGGGTGGGAGGGGAGGGGCAAAAAAGACACTGTTCTTCCTATTTATCTTCATTAAATTTTGATTGGACATTTCCACCACCATATTCAACAGCATATTGTACACTATATATTCTCTCAACGAGCGCTATCGAGAGATTCTGCCAGGGGACTGTGATTCGCGTTACCCTGAGTTTCAGCGATATCGTTAACTTTTTTTTTCCGTACTGTAGACCACCTGCTGTTGAGAACCTTCACCCAAGAATCGAGAAGCTTGGATCAATGTGGCAAACAAGTGGATATTCCTGTACTCAAGGCCCTCGATTTCCAAATAGGAGATGGTCTTCCGATACAACATGTGCTGGTACTGGAATCCTGTAGCCAAGTACGAGATTCCAAAGCCCAACAGTACAGGCGACTAACACGAAGGCGGGATAATTCTCCCTCGAGCTGTTTCGAGTGTACTATTCCAGCGTTCCAACATTCAGTCCGGGTCCATGAAGAAACATATCGGTCTTTTCTTTCAGGTACGTCCTGGTCCATAGCCATCAAAATCGTCGCGGCTTGGCGACTTACGGCGAACATGATATCCTGGACAGTAGCGACGTTTGTCGGAGCTGCTCGATGTTGAAGCTCTCCATGATTAACTGCGCCGGTTTCCAGGTAGCAGCTGTCTAGGGTGACTTTCGCAGCTTTGGTGAAGTGGCTCACCGGCCCTTTTCCACATCGGGCGATTAGAGATACCTTCATATTCTGGTGTGCATGAAGGTGATGGACGGGGCCTGTTCCTGCCTTTCGAGGAATATCTTGGGTATCTTCCGCCCTGGTAGTCGTGTTCACGCCCTCTGTCTGGGGTGCTGCGTAAATTTCACTGATATGTGACTCGACCAATGTGTCTTTTTTGGTCTCCCCCCGTTGTATGTTTTAGCTCTGACGTTGAGCTGTTTGCGACGCTGTAGACTTTTGCTTTAAAGACAGCGCCCGCGATGGACTTTGGCAGGTCTCAGGGGTCAAATTTGTTAGAACAGGTGGCCAATGAAGCACTAATCAAAAAAAGTAGGAAAAAGGTGTGGAAGAGCGTGAAATAAGACCCTACGAAGTTTAAGGCATGTGGACGAGTTTCGCACACCTTTGGTGAGTTCTCCAATACACGTCGCCGCCTCGGAACTCCCTCTAAAACTTACAGCGCTTATCAATGCCAGCAAGCACTGACAACTGTTAACCAGTCGGGGCGGGATTAACAGGAAGGAGGCGTCAGCTCAGCCTTGTTGACTCCGCCCTCGTCAACCAATCGATTTCGAGCCGCAAGAGTGGGATTTCCGCTGTGGTTGCGTACTCCGCGTTCGTTTTCATTGAGGGTTTTTTCACTTTGGTTGATCGCGGACGCTGCCTTTAATGGAATCTTGTCGCGCTCTAGTTTTTTTTCTGTTTTTTTTCAAGTTAACATGTTACAGAAATAAATGAACTGTATAATGGTCATGTCGGCCATTGCAGTGTAGACTTATGCGCAGGTCACGATAGCCTTCATCCAGGACTGTGGAGAATGGGAGGAAAAGAAATAGGCCATTCCAAGCTATTGAACCTAGTGAAAGTTCCCGTAGCCAGAAGAACCACGTGTGAGCGGTTACAGGCGATAACACAAGTAAACTATGGGCAGCGGAATGAGTGAGGGCTATGGTACTGTGTCTCATGTTCGCTCACAATTTTTCGATTGGTTTCCTCATCACTTTGGTCTGGGTCACTGTGGAGGAGGTGGGTCACCGAATCATGTATCATCTGCTTTTCTCAAACAGTTCTCGCAGGCTTCTGGGACTGGGTGGCGCGGACGGTAGCACTGCGTCCGTCAGTGAGAAAATCATGTCCTTTCCCTTGGCGGCTGCATTTCCCCTGAAGTTAACTCCTAGCCAGAAATACGACCCCCCTCCCAACAACGACCAAATACGACCCCCCCTCCAAAACGTCCGCAAAGCGAGAAAAATCAACTATAAAAATAAATTTTTCCCAGCCCAAATACGACCCCCCCCCCCTTTTGGCGGCCAAATACGACCCCCCCCCATAGGGAATCCCCAACCAATGCTGTGCCCTGACGCGGCCAACCAGCCCGTTCTCCACCTATAATTGAAGAGGGCATGCGACACAGTCAATGGTTGAAAAATTGCTGGGAATAAGCTAGCACCGCTCCTAACCCACTCCTGGACACGCAGCAACGTCCATAGCAAAAAAAACAGTTTATACCTCTTACGGAGAGGAATCTCTGGTATTCTCTAACCACACCGTCATAATTCACGGGCGTCAATCCAAAATCAAAAGAACTGGCTTCCCAAGAAGACAGTTACTAACTTTCTCACGTCCTTGATTTTTTTTCAATTCAACTGCGGGAAAACACTTTTTTAGAAACCTACATCGTGTCATAGTAAGCCCCAACGGAGACATTCTTTGGCGAATAAGCACATGTGAGATCGTATATTTTGTCTTCTTCAGTCAGTACTCGTAGCCGAACGAGACTACTATTCGAAGGTGAAACTCCGTTACCAACGAAACTGTGTTCTTGAAATGTCACTCCCTTCTGCATGGGTAAGAGAAATGGAGACAGGAAAATGTTGGGTAAGAAGAAGATCTGACCGTTTTACTCCACACTCCACATTGACCGTGTAGAGACGTTAAGAACTTCGGAAGCGTTCTCTGAAATTATCTGAGGTGAACTTTAAGATACAGAAAATCCTAAGGAGAACTAAATGCTTTGAGGTTTCGAGGGTCGATTTCATGCTCCAGCCCTAGCTGCTCTTGCATATTTTGTCATAACAGCGATTTCAGACGTACAGCAAATTTCGAGGGGTTCGTTCTCATCCCCTCCCCCATGAAAACCTCACAATAACGGCGATGAGAATGTTTCATGGGAGTTCGCCTACCTCGCTCACTGAAGGACAACGGCACACTTACTTCCGAAAACGGTCCATATCTTGTGCGAGGCGCATGGCTCCGCCATTTCAGAAGCGTGCCAATTTTGAACGCTTGAAAGTGCATGGAATGAGTGCGTGAGTGGTGATCACTGGCACCGTCCCACACTCCGTCGCGCTATCTTCCGTGTGTAGCACCTTCTGCAACGAAAACCCCTCTCGGCGGTAGAGAAGAACCAGAGCCGTAAACCGTAGCGCGGACGCGGAGCGGTTTCAAAGCCGAGAGGAAGCGATATTCGTGATTAGGAGGTCAAACTACCCCTAGGTGCAAGTTTTCAGCGGATTATCGTGATCTAGGGTACCTTGGCGCCGGCCCCTGTAGCGCGGGCGCCAAGCGTTTTGAATTACCCCTAGAACCCAACTTTCAGCCAAATCCACCCCCGTAGAAAAAAGTCGATCAAAATCCGGCCCGTTTCCGGAAATCTGGGGTAGTAATAGTTGAATAGTGCCAATTTTTTCACCTAAATTTTGCTGATTGGCTGTCGAGCGAAGGGATGTTATGGTACATCACGAAACAAAGAAAAGTCACGAAAAGTCAAATCAACCTTCAGAGAAGGTCAGAGCGAAATACGATCCCTCCTCCAACAGCAAACAAAACTTTACAAAACGGCCGTAAGCGCAAGAACAGTCAAGCAGAATGAATTTTTCTCAGCCGGAAATACGACTCCTTTCCAGCGACCCAAGCACGCCCCTCCGCCTTCGGGTATCCCCAACGACGATGTGCCTTACTCGTGGGACATTTTCCTGGTTTCACGCAAGCACGTTGAGACAACCTGAGTAGTAAGGTGAACTCACCACTGTGACGTACTGCAAACATTCCGGGTCTTTTTCACGATGACTAGCAAAAATCCTTCCGTTGAATGGATATTTCATGACAACTCCCCCATAACACCCTCTCCGCAAATGAGTAGAGGCGCTGCTATAAAAAAGCTGCAGCAAGTGGAACATATTGTCTGCTAGTAAATTAATACATAATTAAAAGTCATTCAGATTCAGGAGCAGTTGCTCTCAGAAGGAATTTGAATAACAATATCACCTTTGCATTCCCTGCTCATGAGCTAACGCCTTGTCTACTGCGGATACTGGGGCATGTCAGGAGAGGGGCGGGGAGTGGGTTTGGCGCGGCGCCAACCCCTTCTCCACCAGCCGTGGTCGCTTGCCCCACTTCAGTGGAGAAGTCTGACACCTCGCCAAACGTGGCCCTAGCATTTGCAGTGAACAAGGCTGTAAGTAATCTGGACTTACTCTGCACAAACGTTGGTTGTCTGGAGTAGATTCAGATCGAGATTTAAACCAGGACTAAGTAACAGGCTGTATTTTGGTTTCTGGACGGAGAAGAAGTAAGTATTGTTTTGAGAAACTGTGAAACTGGCTTTCCAGTTTTCGCTTTTCCTCTGCAGGCCTAATATACACACAGTTGTCACAGTCTCAAAACAAATACGCACTTCTTCTCTATATACCCCCCCCCCGTCCTCGCAACCTCCCCCTGCTCGGAGCCGACGGCAGATGCGACGGGGAAACTGGAAAATTTTGGAAAAAGAACCCTGAGAGTTGGTAGGGATCTAGGAGGGCAGTAGATGAAGAAAGAAGGGCGAGCGGGGGGCGTACTAGAAAAGGAAATGTTGAGGGAGAGAGGGCCGTAATTTTCAAGTTCCCAAGACAGGACGCGTTCTTTCATAAAGATCCATTAGCTGGTGCTTGATTACAGTTTTTGCAAAGGAGATGTTTGCATGAAAATAGAAAAACACCTGGACCAATTGGCTTCCTCGATTCCCCTCTGGCTGGTAAGCGCCTCAATGGGCTATGTTGATAACTAAGAAATCGAGCTCTATTCAGTGAGATCGGTGTGAACGCAATGAGACCGTCGCCAAGTGGTTTCTTCTGAGATTTCTGCAAAACAACTAATTTTCGGAAATGTGATTTCAGTGACATGACTGAAAATCGTTTGCCAGTTTGAAGTTGTAAGGGGTGTCTGTGAAATGACGTATCTGCATGGTTTTACCTTGCTCTCGGTTCCTGAAAGCAGTCCGATCAGGAGAATATGCAGTAGGACCATCTCAGAAATCGCAAGTCATTTCTAATGCCAGCGCTTCCCGGTTACCTGGAAGAACAGTGTTTCTACATAGTAAATTTTGAAGGAAGCATGAAGACGGACATTCACTGTGTCGCAGAATGGTATGGTAATGGTCGGCCTTGTTTGAGGATGCGTCCCATGGAATATTTGTTACCCTATACCCTATCGGATTGGCCACACATATATAGCACATTCCGCCCAATATGGGTGCGTCTTTCTCATTTCGACCGCCTAATGATTGCCTA